ATGGAAAATCATTAGCCAAACCCATGTATGTTAACCAAAAACTATGATGATGGCCAAGGATGGGGTGTTTCTTATTCACAGGCACTTGTGAAACTTCAGGTAGCTGTGATGCTTCCTCCCTCTTACACAGGCAACGTCGCATGTAGTGTCCTCTGTTTATGGGACGGCATATTCATCTTGGGTCTCCTTGGTTTGCATTTTCCTCAGTTGCTTTGTTCATAGATGAAGGGCTGAGGGGGAACCAAAAAGGCATACTTTGGTGGATAATTGCACTGGGTAATGACATTGAAGAAGAATCCATACTGTAGAGGATGGCAAAAGATATCTCAATAATTGGTGGCAGTCTCAAGGATCCAGGCCCTCAATGGAAGAGAAGGTGGACCTCCACTGCTCTCACGTAGGACATCTGGTATCTTGGATCTTCCCCAGGAGTTCATGCCGAGGTCAGCCTTGTCACTCAGTCTCTTGTGGCATGTAGTCAGTGAGTGTGTTCGCTCTAGAGAGAATGGTAATATGCTGCAGGTTTTTAGTGCACCGTATTCCATGTCACACTCCAGTTTGCCTTAAAGAGCTTTCTCGTGCCTCTTCCTTATACAAGTCGTGTGAAGAGAGTGGATTCTAACAGCCATATCCAGACCAGGATTTGGAGTTCAAGTATATGAATTACATGAGTAGAGGCAGACTATTGATTTTGCTACTATTAGATGAAATGGTACTATATAGCTACTAGTTGTTATGCACCCTTGGTTATAAATAACTTCAAATTATGGAGTTCTTATATAGTCGTGGACTATCTCAGAGATTTTAGGAGAACATAATGAAATTGAGTTCACTGATAATCTCTGTAGCTAGACTTACATCCTCTGTGACCATTTTGGCATCATGTCCAAGGAGGCTTTCCCATGGCAGCACTCATGTGTTACATTAGGATTCTTGTCATTGCTCTTTATCAAGGCAAGGTGAGATTTCCCATTGAGAAATTTGAAAAATTCTTTGATACCCTTTGTCATTTTACAGGTAAGGGACAGGCACTTTTTTATCCCTGGCCATTGAAGACCTGAATCTCCCACCTGAATCCTGTCTTTTCTATGCATTACAGTCTATGCTTGAAGATAAGGCCTAGGCACAGGTCTCACATTTGCCATGGATAAAAATTTAACCTAGTGCAACCTCAAACTCCTGAACTCCAGCAATCCTCTTGCCTCAGCCTCCTCAGTAGCTGAGAGCACAGGCTCCCAGCACAATGCCCTGCTTGTTTTCCTATTTTTGTAGAGGTATGGTCTCACTGTTGTTTAGGCTGGTCTCAAAATCCTGAGCTCAGGTAATCCACCCACCTTGGCTTCCCAGAATGCTGGTATTACAGACGTGAGCCAGTGCACCAGGCTTGATTGAAGGCTTTTTTTTTTCTTTTATTCTTGGGATTTTATTGAGGGTACCAAGAAAGAGGTTACACTGATTCCATTTGTTCGGTAAAGTCCCTCTTATAATTGTGCCCCACTTCTAAAAGGTGTGTCACACACAATGACCCCCCACCTCCCTCCTTTCTTCCCTCTCTCTACTCTCACTTTCCCCCACCCCCACCATGTACCAAATCATTAGTTGTCCTCATATCAGAATTTAGTACATGGGATTATTACTTTTCTATTCTTGTGATTTTTTACTAAGAATAATGTGTTCTACTTCTACCCAGGTTAATACAAAAGATGTAAACTCTCCTTCTTTTTTAATGGCTGAACAGTCTTCCATGGTATACATATACCACAGTTTGTTAATCCATTCCTGCGTTGGTGGGCATTTTGGCTGTTTCCACATTTTCATGATTGTAAATTAAGGTCCGATATACAGTCTACTGCAAGTGTCCTTATGATAAAAGGATTTTCTTTTTCTCCTGGGTTAGATGCCCAGTAATGGGATTGCAGGATCAAATGAGAGGTCTAATTTGAGTTGAGGATTCTCCATACTTCCTTCCAAAATGGTTGTATTGGTTTGCAGTCCCCCCCATTCCAGTAGTGTAAAAGTGTTCCCTTCTGTCCACATCCCTGCCAGCATCTGCAGTTTGGAGATTTTGTGATGTGGGCCATTCTCACTGGGGTTAGATGATATTCAGGGTGGTTTTGATTTGCATTTGTCTAATAATTAGGGACGATGAGCATTTTTTTTTGGTAGAGACAGAGTCTCCTTTTGTCGTTCTCCATAGAGTGGTGTGTCATCACAGCTCATACCCACCTCCAACTCCTGAGCCTAGGCGATTCTCCTGCCTGAGCCCCCCCCCGACAAGCAGCTGGGACCACAGACACCCACCACAACACCCAACCATTTTTTTGATGAAGTTTGACTGACATCGGGCTCGAACCCACCACCCTCGGTTATGGGCCGGTGCCCTACCCACTGAGCTACAGGTGCCACCCAGACAATGAGCATTTTTTCATACGTTTGTGAGCCATTCATCTGTCTTCCTTAGAGAAGGTTCTATTCATCTTCCTTGCCCAGTGATATAAGGCCTTGTTGGCTCTTATTATGTTGATTATTGTGAGTTCTTTATAGATCCTATTTAACAAGCTTTTGCCTGATTCAAACTATGCAAATATCCTTTCCCATTGTGTAAGTTGTCTATTTGCTTTGGTAGTTGTCTTCTTAGCTATAAACGAGAATTATTTTTTTCAAGTCTTGAAAATATGGTGTAGTATTTTAACGGGGGTGGGATTGAATCTGTAGATTGCTTTGAGAAGTATAGACATTTGAATAATGTTGATTATTACCAGCCATGAGCCTGTATTTGTTAATATCCTCTGCTATTTCTTTTCTTAGGAGTTTGTAATTTTCTTCATAGAGGTTCTTCACCTCTTGTGTGAGGTATATTCCTAGGTATTTCATTTCTATGAAGCTGTTGTGAAGGGTTGGCTGTTACTGGCATATACAAAGGGTACTGACTCGTGGACATGGATATTATATCGTGAGAGAAGGCTTTTTAAGAAAGTTTCTGGTGCTTGACAAAGGTGTGGTTACCCAGATTCCGTGTTCTGGGCATTATGTTAGCAAATGTCTATCCAGAGAACATACAGGAGACTTGTGTAGTAGGAGAAATAACTGCTAATCACAATGTTCCTAAAAAGATGCAACAAAACATCTTGAAATAATGAATTTCAAGGCTGGATCCCCAGCCAATTTGGTGGTCTGCTCTTCAACGAGAAGAATTATAGGATTAGAGGCTCAGAAAGGGGGAACAGGCTTTGTTATCAGGAAAGAAGGAATGACATTTCACGTAGTTGCTCCACTGGGGGCTTATAGACTCAGATGGGAAAGGGCTGGGGACAGTGGCACCAGGGAGAGCTGCTGACAAAGGCTGAGGTTGATGGACTCTACTAGCCATATTTTGAGAGGGTTTGTACATTGGAGGGTACAGGTCCTGCCTCCTTCTCTGTGCCTGACACTGCAGTAAAGTGTATTGTTGAGTGTGGCACAGGCAAGTGTGGCCCTTGGCAAAGGTGGTGCTTTAATTAAGAGGGTAGAACCTTGCTCTTCATTCTCAATTAGAACTTTGGTTATGTGTTTCTGAGGGTTTCTCTAGCCAGCGTGAAGTGTAAACAAACTGTAGCCAGAGTGGGATGGTGGGGAATGGGAAAATAAGACACTCACAAGAGAAAGATCACCCAAAACGTGATGAGATTGGCAGATCTGGTGCAGCGGATGACTGCAG